GTTAACTCCTTTGTGAGAGAGGGGGTAGTTCCGCCATCTCTTAAGGAGGTGGTGGTTCACCTCCTCCTCAAGGGACCATTGCTAGACCCCACCAGTCTGGAAAATTTTCGTCCAGTTTCCAACCTTCCCTTTCTAGGGAAGGTTATAGAGAAAGTGGTTGTGTTGCAGCTTCAGAGGACCCTGGAAGAAGCTGGACACCCGTCAGGGTTGAGGCCTAGGTATGGGACTGAGATGGCATTGATTGCACTCTTGGATGAACTTTGGTGGGAGTGGGATGGTGGTGGTGTGTCCATCCTTGTTCTTCTTGACCTCTCAGCGGCTTTCAATATCATCAATCATATCTTCTGGACTGGCTCCAGGAGTTGGGAGTGGGTGGCACAGTGTTGTTGTGCTGGTTCTCCTCCTTCCTCCAGGGTCAGTTTCAGTTGGTGTTGATAGGAGGAGGGAGATCTAGCCGGTAGCTGCTCCTTTGTGGGATGCCTGAGAGCTCAGTACTCTCTTCCCTCCTATTTAATATCTACATGAAGCCGCTGGGTGAGGTCATCCAACAGTTTTGGGTGAGGTTTTATATCAGCTTTGTATCTCTACCCCAGTTTGCCTGAGTGATAGGAGGTTCTGTCTCAGTGCCTGGAGGCTGTGGGAGCCTGGAAGGGGCACAACAGGCTTCAGCTCAAACCAAGCAAGACCAAATGGCTCTGGATTTTTTGACCTCCTGGTTCCAGGGACCTTCCATATTTGGTTCTGGATGGGATGGCAGTGCCGGTGCACAATCTGGGGGTCCTCCTGGACTCAGCTCCTGCTCAACGAGCAGGTGGCAGCTGTGGCCAGAAGGGCCTTTGCACAGCTTAGAGCTGTGCATCAGTTGAACCCATTTTTGGACCGGGGGGCCCTGCTCACGGTCACTTATGTCCTTGTGACCTCCATATTGGACTACTGCAATGCGCTTTATGTGGGGCTGCCCTTGAAGAATATTTGGAAGCTTAAACTGGTGCAAAATGTGACCGTGGAGGCAGATATTGGTGCCAGTTACTCGGCATATGTGACACCACTACTCCACAAGCTGGATTGGCTTCCATTGTGCTTCTGGGTGCAATTCAAGGTGGTGGTTGTCACCTTTAAAGCCCTTCATGGCTTAACACCAGGTTACTTACAGGACCGTCTCTTCCCAGTTGTTTCTACCCATCTTATCCAATCTGGCAGGAAGGAGATGCTCCGGGTACCGTCAGCTAGGGAGTATTGGCTGGCGGGACCTAGAAGGAGAGTCTTTTCTGCCATGGTGCCCAGTCTTTGGAACATCATTCCCCCTGAGATTAGATTGGCCCATCCTTGTTGGCCTTTCATAAGGGCTTGACAGCCTAGCTTTGTGCTTGAATCTGGGGTCCTGGTTGTGGATTAGAATCCATCTCTTGCTTGTATGGATGATAAGTTAGATCATGCCCGGCTGCTATGTGTTTCTATTTTTGTTCATATTATGCATTTTGTGTTTTTGTTTTATTGTAAGCCACCTAGAGTCATGTAAAAGTGAGATGGGTGGCTGTATAAATTGAGTAAATAAATAAATAAATATTTTGCATTGTCCCGTTTCCCTCAAGTTTGACTTTATGTATGTGCCGATATAGCATTTTGGCACCAGTATGGAATGGTTTACCATTACCTGTACCTTCAGGATGTTTTATGAATTTCTCAGCTCAATATCCCTTCCAAGTGCTAACCAAATTCATCCCACTTAGTTGTTCAAGATCACCCAAGGTTGGCTAGGTACACATAGTATCCTTAAGGTACTTAAATAACTACAGCATTCCATTACTGTTTTGGGAGAGTAAATATAAAGTAGAGAATGGCAATTTGACACTCAGGATATTACCAGTTTGGTTATTATTACCAGACTGTAGTAAATAAATAAATGGCTTATGATTTATGTGCAGATGGGATGCTAAGTTATCACGTATATGGTATGTTTAATGTCCTCCTGCTTTGAATAGGCTGGAACCATTAATTGGTTGCCCCACCTCTCCCCAAAACATTGTCAGAATACAAAATCCAGAATCAAAAATGATTAGTTTCCTACCACCTATAAATATAAATATAAATAAAAAAACTGTTTAAATTTTAATCCAGTACTTCTTTTGTGATTGGCATCAGTTCTCCAAAGTCTAGGACAGATGTCTTCTTCATTGTCTACTCCTGGGTGTTTTCAGGTGGTCTACCTATGAGACCTTGGATGTGGGAACACCTGCAGACAAATGCATACTCTAACAATGAACTGTAGCCTCACCCTTTTCATTGCAGTATCTACTGTTTGAAAGAACCAAGCAATATAATCATCAACTTCATATGATCTACCTCTTGATGGATTTAAACACTTCTTTGTACAAGTCAGTGATCAATTGTGTCAATGCCCTTTTGAATCAAAATTAGTTCTGAGCCTGAAATACACCCACTTCAACGTTATGGATACATATCTCCTCCTTTTAATTTACCCCTGGAAATGACAACTTTGCATGTCTCACATCTAGTGAGCCAAAATTAAAGCTGGACTAGAATGAGCAATGAGGCAGTCCTACAGCTAGCCCAAAAGTTTCAGGAGGCCAGCCATAGAACTGGAGGACCCTACCTGCGCCATTCCATTGAACAAAATCAATTTAAGGGACAAAGGAAATGTAAGGGCTACTTCTCTAGCCCCTTAGCTATCAGCCTGCCAAGAGGATCTGTGATGATGTTGACAGTTTCCTGTCTTCGGTTTATAGTTTTAAGTTCATTGTCCTTTTTCAGAACTGTAATAAATCACATACTCTTCCATGATGACTTCAGGGTAGGATCTGACTTAGAATGAGTGGATATACAGTAAACACCCTGAGTGGTGGAGGAGGCTGCCTTAGGCTTCTCCTTGCTGTACTCTTGGTGCCATGAAATCTTAGAAGAAAAGCAACAGACACGATCATGCATGGCTCCAGTTGAAAGTACTCAATGCGCATAAAAATGGGTGGAGCTTCAATTGCACCATTGTAGGCACCATCTTGACTTTTTTTTTACCATGCCCTGAGGACACCCTGCCTAACCACCAGTGGTTGAAGTCCATACAGAGCAGATGGCATCTTGGAGGGTTCACACAGAGAGCCTAAACAAGCTCTTTCACAATCTTCCATCTTTTTCTTTTCTTTCATTCTTCTGGGTTTGTGGTTTAAACTAATTACTTTGCTAGGCAAGAGAAAGTTTCAGTTTCCTGAATTTTTGAGTGTTTGTATTGTGACCAGGGTCCAGGTTCAAATTTGCTCTGTAAAATTATGTATTTTTAATATTTTTTTTCTAAATGATAATGCTGTTTGGGCTATGGAATGTTAAAGGTTGAGAACTATATCTAAGAGTATATCTGTATCTAAGGCCCTGCTCACAGTCACTCAAGCCTTGGTAACTTCCCATTTGGATTAATGCAACACACTCTACGTAGGGCTGTTGTGGAAGACCAGCCGAAAACTACAACTGGTCCAGAATGCAGCAGCACACGCAGTGTTGGCTGCCCCTAGGTTTGCCCATATTACACCCCTATTGTGAGAGATGCACTGGCTCTCTTTCTTTCCAGGTGCAATTCAAGGTACTGGTTATTACCTTTAAAGCCCTACATGGCATGGGACCAGTTCATCTGTGGGACCACCTCTCCCTGAGGGTATCTGCCTATTCCACCAGAACAGATAGTGTGGGCACACTCCAGGTCTCTTCCCTTAAACGTTGGGTCCTTGGAAGTGTGCCTTTTCTGTGGCAGCCCCTGCCCTATGGTACACCTCCCCCCCCGATCCAACAGGCCCCCACCCTTTTAACCTTTAGAAGAGCACTTAAGACCTGACTCTGCCCCCAGATGTTGGGATAGGGTGAGGTTAGAGTGGGAGAGAATGTGGGGGTTCTGTCAAGCCAGATTTTTTTGTTTGTTTTGGTTATAAATTTAATTGGTTTTGATTTTTATTATGTCTATGTGGTTTTATTTTTGATTGTAAACTGCCCAGAGTTTGGTTTAAGATAGGTGGCTGTACAAATGTTTTAAATAAATAAATAGTTTTCTTATAAACTAAAATTGTTAAAGACTGATGAGGGGGGAGTTCAGAAGAAACTCATATTCTTCCTGATGAAAAACACTTTTTGGCTAAAAAAAAAATGGGTGGATCATATTCTTCTGAGTGGAAATTCCAAACACCAGAGGGGTAATTAAAACATTGTCAAACTTTAGAGCAAAATTGGATATTGATAGATTTGATGGAACTCTAGTGTTAATAATAGAGTTGGTCAGATGGCTTAGGTAGATGTTCATAGTCTGACGAGAGATGTGCCAGATATTTTATATAATTGTTTTGCAGATATTTTTGGTTTATAGGGTAATAAATAACTATAGTGGAAACTTTAATTTAGACTTGGATCTTAATTTAGTTTTCAAAATATTTTGATTCAAAGAGAAGTTGCTTCATCAGTTATAAATTACCTCCTCTTCAGTATCTCTCCCCCCCATTTAAATCTTACATCTTCCCCCAAATCTTCAAGGGAAGTCCACCTCTCCCCCAATTTAATTTGCATGGCAAATAGGTTAGATGTTTCACGTTTGATACGGCACTCTAACAAGCCCATTGCTGAACTGTGTAGCTTGAGGGCAGTCCTGCAGACTTGCTGGACTACCTCGGCCATCCCTTCCCCCTCCAAGAGATCTACGGGCGGCCCTGAGGTCCACCCCTGGAGAAAGGCATCCTGTGTCAAGGTTGCAAAATTCCAGGTAAGCCGGTGTATCAGGTGCCATGTTGGCTGGGAAATTATTTATACTTATCAGCAGAGAACAAGTACAAGCAGTAAATTTGCTGGGCACTGATAGTCCAACAGTTCATCTCTCCTGCCGGTGTGAGGGTGAATAATTTATAAACCCGTTATCCAGAGCCAGGGAGCGGGACATTAGCATTTTAATGAAAACAATATAGGCATTGTACTAAATCTTTGCATTCTTCTTCTTCCTTCTCTTCCTCCAGGAAAACAATTCTGCCAAGTGCTTTGAAAACAGCTGACGACACCGGATAATGTGCTGACTAGCACTATGGGCAGGCGATACCCGGGGGCTCACTATCGTCAAAGCAATTCATGTATGTATGCAAGGCCTTTCCTAGCTGGCCCATTGAAGAGCCCAACAAACCATGGTAGCTTATCTTGGCTGGCCTGTGACTTTTTAAATGGCGGTGCCAGCGCCGTTCTGTAGACGCTCTGATTTATTGGGAATCCTTTATTATGGTATGCAAAATTGTATGGGAACAATTTAAAGCCCAGATGAGGTTGTTTTCAGAAGTTCTGCTTAGTTGGAGGACAAAAGGTTTGCTGTGGGCCAATCACCCGTGTGTGTCCCTGCTCGGATTTCTCATTCAGTGTTTTTAGGCACAGATCGAATTGTCGTGTTTTTAAGACGTTTTATTCTTCCTGCATTTGGTCCCTGGTCTGGGTGGGCTTCAGCAGGTGGAGGATGGAGGCATTTCTAAAATCAGGATACTGGGTTCTTTAGAAAGCGTTCCTCCTGTATTGTACCTTAAATCTATTATTTGGTATTCTACCCTTTGGGATAATAGAGTGCCTTTATATCTTATGTATTTATTCATTCCATTTTTAAACTGCCACAATCATGCAACTCTCAGCGGTTTACAAAAGAAAACAACAAAACTCAATAATAATTAAAAAGCAAGTTAAGAAATATTTATTTTATTTGTCCTAAAACTGGAGCACATAAGCAATTCTGTGACTATCCCTCTGGATGATGAATTCATTTTATTGTCCTGAAGGTTGATTCCCAGCTTTTTATGGTTATTTACAATGTACAGTGCTAGTTTTACATTTGGATTTTTGATATGTCTGCTTTTAATCCCAAATTAAAGATTTGGGGGTTGTACCTCACTCAGAGTCGATTGGAGTGCTCTGTAAGCCCTGTAAATAAATAATGAATGCTATCTTAACTAATTAAAAAAAAACTCGCTTCTGAAAAGCCAACAGGGTCAGGGTGAGCCTTTTGCTTGGGGGTAAATGGTTCCACAGTAAGCAGGCCATGATGGAGAAATATCTTCCTGTCGACACAGCAGGAGTTTGGGATCCATGTTTAACAAGTATTCTTGGTGCATCTGTTCATGCGCTGAACCTGGGTTCTTGGTTCACTGATGTGCCACAAATAACAGGAAGCAAAGCTTGATCAGAGAAGGCTTCCCACACGCGACACCTACTAAATAATATTGCTTTGTTTCCCAGCGTGCTGCATTTCTTTGTACATGACCTATAATTTCCTGTACGTATTAAATGGATAAGTGCAAAACCAGCATGGGCTTTGTAGATATGCTTTATAGTGTGCAAGTAATGTTATCATTAACAGTAAGTCAGCTTTGATTTCACATTGGAAATGGATAGTAAATAATACATGACTTGTTTAGAAGAGAAACCGATCTATATGGGAGTGTTTCAGACGCCTTCCTTAAACTGAAACAACTCCTCCCATATAGGTATGTTTCTCATCTAAATGAGGCATGTATGATATTTCTGTCCCTTTCTAGGATGAAAAACACCTTATTTCATATATTTTCCTTGCTGAAAAACAAGGTAGGTGCTGTAACTTATCTTGGTGGCTCTTGCTTTGCTTCCTTCTCTCTTTAAAGTCAGTTTGTGAGGAAAGGCTTAAATATATCTTTAGGTAGCAAGCCTTCTCTTCTAATCTTTTAAAAATTACAGATGACAGCAGTCACTCCCCTTGGCTGCTGTCAGTGATATGCCCTGTGTCTTCAGGCCCACTTTATTCCAAGGGATATCCAACTGATCTCCTGAACATGAGTTGACCCTTGTCACTTCCCATCCTCTACCTACGCCAGTGTTGTCCAAACTTGGCCACTTTAAGATGAGTGGACTTCAATTCCCAGAATTCCCCAGCCAGCCATGCCAATAGAATTCCTATTGTGGCAAATGAAGATTGTGGTTCTGGAATAGTTGAGGCTCTGCAGGGTAAGGTTGGAGTGGTGGACTAGGACTGGGGAGAGCCAAGTTCATAATTCCACTCAGCCATCCAATTTACTGTGGCAGCTTTTATCTCCCAGCCTAATTCTCCTGACATCATTATAAGGATGAATTTGGGGTGGAAATGGAGGGAAGAACCATGAAGAACATCTTGAGTTCCTAGAGGTGACAGTGGAGAAACCGTTGGATATAAATGCCATAAGGTGACAGGTCTTCAGGTGCAACTTTAAGCACTTACTTCCAAGTTAAAATGTATAAGGACACCCTAGATATTGCTAGGACTTCAGAGATATCAGAGTTGATTGACAAGTGGGCAGTCCTAACCCTAATGGAGGTTAAAATTAACAAGCTTAACATGGGTGAATACAGTTGCTCTAAATCGTTAGAGTTCCACTTTAACTAACAAAAGCAAAATAAATTCTGCAAACCAAGAAAGAATATGCACAACATGTAGGTTTCCATTGTGTGTAGAATTTTAATTTTTGTATTATTATAGAGAGGAAATCCAAACTCTTGGGTGTAGGCAATTTCACAGTTATTGTGATTTGTAGAGTAGAAGTAGAAATAGATGGAAGTCAGAAAAATAAAGGCTACGTTCTTCAAAATACTAATATATTTAAATAAAGGATTTTAAATCTCTGCCTCTTTTGTTATAATCTGCTATAAATACTGAGCACTTTAAAGCACAAATGTTGCCCTGCACGTGCAAACCCAAAATTAAAGTCCCAGCTCCATTGTTTTTTCCTTTAAGAAGGCAGAGTTTCAGAGGTTTAACTCATTTGCAGTAAATAAAGGATGCCAACAGGCACCAGCAATAAAATATCCATCTTGGCTGTGCTTCACAAGCTGCAACTTTTCTCCTGCCCTTTGTGATAATTCCCTTAGTCATTTTATAGCCCTAAAAAAAGGGGAAAAATCCTATGGTTACAGATTTAGAGAATACAGATTTACATCATTCCAAAAGGGGAATGGTGTAAATATTCTTACATGCTGAGAACTTGAGAACTTTCAATGATTAGAATTTGGCATTCCTTGAGAGAGTTTTTTAAAAAAGACCTAATACATTTTCTACTTTCTGTGACCAGCCTTTATGCTGGTTATAATTTAATCCAACTTCAGTGACAGTTAATTATTTAGTTAGTTGAAGTTTATTACAGTTGTAGGCCAGTATCATTTGTAGAGCAGAAAACCTACTTCACTTTTGCCGTATTTTTGCCCCAACCTTTTTGTGAAAAACTAAATTTAAATGGCCACAGGATATCCATGCCATCTTTGTTTTTCTTGGCAAATACAGTTTAACAGTGGTCATTATGGAAGAAGATTTAGTGAAACATAGTAAGGCTTTGAATATCTTTGGTCCATAAAAGGTACCTAGCAACCAAAAATATAGTGGATAACAAGTTGATAGTTTATTAGTGAAATCTGAGATTTTACCAGAGAAAATGTAAGAAAAAAAAATATGTCTTGTACCAAACTGGACTTCTGTGGGTTTCTGTACCAAACTGAACTATCACAGTTAGAAACTTAGAGAGAGGCACTGGATTTGTGCATAAATCAACTTGTTTATTTTCAGATTAGCACAGTATGTGAGCCTGGTCATTGTGGTTTAGGGTTAGGTGTCAGTCAGATCACAATTTCCTACTTAACAAACCGTGGCTAAAACTCCTAGCTTAGTTCCACGAATGAAACCAGTTATTGAGGATACATTTTTAAAAGAGAGTCTGTCAAGGTCCTTGTCCCCTTGAAGTAAACTCTCCATACAGAGTTTTTGTATTTGTTCAGCCCTCCCAACTTTCTTTCTCACACACGCACATTTCTCCGTGCCTCAGTAGAGAGCAAATAGATGTCTGCACCCCGCCTGCTGTGGCTGAACAAAGTGGCTGAAGATGATGAGGTGGTTGTCCAACCTAACTGTCCAGCCAGGAGTGGCCCCTTCTCCTCCATGCATCAGGGGCACTACATGGCTGCTGTTGCTCAGCAGTGCAATCCTAGTCTCTGACTAGCAGCACACACACAATGGGTGTCACCCATTTTCGTTCTCCCCTTCTCTGCAGCAGTAGTAGGAGGTACTAAGTCCGTTACTTGGCAAATTAAATTCCATTTGCCGTTTAATGGACATTTGGTTTTATTGGACCCTTTCTCCCTTTTCATTTGTTAAGTCAAGGATTTACTGTAATGTTTTTTTTTTTAAATACTAGATATGGTAATCCAGGCAGGAGCATCCACAGGTAAAGGTTCTAAAAGGTCAAGATGGCAGCTTTGGTCAAAGCTCCGCCCTTTTGTTGTGCATGCACAATTGCTGCTTTGACCCTCCCCTACAGATTCCCTGGGCCCTTTTTTGCCTGCTAGAAGGGTAGTTCAGTAGATCACATGCATTATCGTTGACTGAAACGGTAGAAATTGATCGTCAGAAGAAACTCCTGTAAACTTTTTGCTTTCAGAAATTCTTTTCAACATAACTCTGCCAAAGATTCATAGGATTTTTGAGAGTATTCTAGAATGTGTTTGAAACTGTGTGCATTCTGTTCATCCATAATCTGTCCCCAAACAGAGAGATCAGCAACTGAGGATGAATTATCTTTCAGGAGACCTTTAGTTGGTACAGTAAAATCTCAATTTAACAGACTCCCATTTAGTGGAGTTTGGATGAAATTGACAAAATACCTTCTGAAATAACAAGAAGTCTGTTGGATTTGACAAGACACTTACATTTATATTAAATTAGGCTATATGTATGTTATTTGTACCAGGTTATGTCATTTCTGTAATGATGTAATGACAATGCAAAAGTAGTGATTTGCATCAGTTCATTATGCAATGGATGCAAATCACCATGAATGGTGTGTTTTTGTTTTTAATGGTCAACCTCTCCCCCCAATTTGTCCCTTAAATGAAAGGTTTATTGCATTGCTATATGTACTCCTTAAATGAAAAAGCAGAGTTTAAAAGCTGTTACCATGGAATAACAGCTGCTTGTTAGAAAACAAAGCAAGTTTCCTTTTGGAAGTTTTTTTTCTTTTTTTTCTGTTTAATGCTCTATTTAAAATGTTGGGAAACTTAGTTTGGGATGGAAAAGGATAGAATTAAAAGAATAATTTTACCAAAA